CCCTCATCTCCTCCTCCCCCCGAGCGGACCCTACCCTGGGCCCCCTGCACAGGGCGCTCAGTCCCCTGCGGAGCAGAGGGGGCACCCGGCACGCGGCCACGTGGTTCTCTACCCGGGGCGACGGACGCGAAGTCTCGGGGCGGGCAGCAGTCGCGAAGGCGGCGGCGCTCCTCGTATCTCGTCTCGTCTCTCACTCCGCTCCCTCGTCTCGTGCTTCCCCACCCCCCACCTCGTCTCCATGCTCCCTCCCCCTCGCTATCTCCACCCCTGCACCACCACCACCCCCCACGCCGGGCGATAAAACGCGAGGCATCGAAGCGTCAACGCCGAGACTCCGCCCTTCGTGAAGGACCGCTTCGCCCTCTCGCCGCATCGGCACCACGACCACCAACAACCATCGCTTACCTGGGTACCGCTTGCCCGCACCATCGCCACACACCCAGCAAGCACTCCCGATATATCGAATCGCCTTCGTCGTTGTCAGCAGCACCATCGCTAAAAGCACCGCCGCCGAAGTTGCCAGGGGAGGGAGTATCATCCCCTTCTCACCTCGAATCTCAGAGCTCTCCTCTCTCTCTCTCACCTGTCCTGTGCAGCAAGGTGCGTTGCGTGTGCAGGCAGGGGAGTGGTTGGCACACACTACACGCTCGCGAGCAGCACTTGCCCCAACAGCCTACGAAGGCTCTACGTGGTGGGTGAGGGTTGTTTGTCTTTGTCTTGTGTGTGTATGCCGGCTGGTGTGTGTGTATGCCAGCTGGAGTGTGTGTATGCCAGGCGAAGCTGGTGTGTGTGTATGCCAGGCGAAGCTGGTGTGTGTGTATGCCAGGCGAAGCTGGTGTGTGTGTATGCCAGGTGAAGCTGGTGTGTGTGTATGCCAGGTGAAGCTGGTGTGTGTGTATGCCAGGTGAAGCTGGTGTGTGTGTATGCCAGGTGAAGCTGGTGTGTGTGTATGCCAGGTGAAGCTGGTGTGTGTGTATGCCAGGTGAAGCTGGTGTGTGTGTATGCCAGGTGAAGCTGGTGTGTGTGTATGCCAGGTGAAGCTGGTGTGTGTGTATGCCAGGTGAAGCTGGTGTGTGTGTATGCCAGGTGAAGCTGGTGTGTGTGTATGCCAGGTGAAGCTGGTGTGTGTGTATGCCAGGTGAAGCTGGTGTGTGTGTATGCCAGGTGTGTGTGTGTGTGTATGCCAGGTGTGTGTGTGTATATGCCAGCTGAAGGTGTGTGTGTGTGTATGCCAGGTGAAGGTGTTTGTATGCCAGGTGAAGGTGTGTGCATTGTGTACACGTGGTCGCGTGTGTACGGGTGTCTGTACAGGTAAATGTATGTACTTTACACAGTTGTGGAAGGCGTGTGTGTGTGTAAACTATACAGTTAAATATCCGTGTGTTTATATATGTGTAGGTGTGTACAGTACTGTCCTATGTACACGTGCAAGTGTGTGTACTCCTGCGAATAGGTGAAGGTGTGTTGCTATTTTGCACCCTATGTAGCCAACCGTGCGAATCGGAGGTACACCTACGAGGAATTTTTATTTCGGTGTACATATTAACTCGCTCTCTTCCTCCGTGTGTGCACTGTACAGGTGAAGGTGTGTGTGTAGTGATGTGTACAGGTGAATGAAGGTGTGTGTAGTGATGTGTACAGGTGAAGGTGTGTGTGTGTGTAGTGATGTGTACAGGTGTATTGTGTACAGGTGTGTGTGTGTGTAGTGATGTGTACAGGTGTATTGTGTACAGGTGAAGGTGTGTGTAGTGATGTGTACAGGTGAAGGTGTCTGTGTAAAATCTACAAACAAGTGTGCGTGCCGCGTGTGCGTTTGGCCATCGCCTCTCCTCGTCCACAGGCAATGCAGTCGCTGTGGGTGGCCGATCGTCGCACGGCCGCTGCGGTGCTGGCGGGCACCGTGGCCCTGGCCTGTGCAGGCCATGGACTCGTGCGTCTGCTGAGGGCCCGGGGCCCCGAGAACGTGTACGAAAGCCCGCGCCTGCTTGCCGAGTACTTGCACTTCCACTACGCGCAGGGGAGCGAGGCGCTGCCGCACGAGGGGGGGCCCCGCGATGCCCTCGACTTCCCCGCCAGGTGCGCCCACCTGTGCATAGAGCAGAGCCTGGGCCCCGAGGTGAGCGGTCGCTGCCCCCTTCTCTCTGTACGCTGCCCCCTTCTCTCTGTACGCTGCCCCCTTCTCGCCGCGCGCTGCCCCTTCTCGCCGCGCGCTGCCCCCTTCTCGCCGCGCGCTGCCCCCTTCTCGCCGCGCGCTGCCCCCTTCTCGCCGCGCGCTGCCCCCTTCTCGCCACGCGCTGCCCCCTTCTCGCCGCGCGCTGCCCCCTTCTCGCCGCGCGCTGCCCCTTCTCGCCGCGCGCTGCCCCCTTCTCGCCGCGCGCTGCCCCCTTCTCGCCGCGCGCTGCCCCCTTCTCGCCGCGCGCTGCCCCCTTCTCGCCGCGCGCTGCCCCCTTCTGGCCGCGCGCTGCCCCTTCTCGCCGCGCGCTGCCCCCTTCTCGCCGCGCGCTGCCCCTTCTCGCCGCGCGCTGCCCCCTTCTCGCCGCGCGCTGCCCCCTTCTCGCCGCGCGCTGCCCCCTTCTCGCCGCGCGCTGCCCCCTTCTCGCCGCGCGCTGCCCCCTTCTCGCCGCGCGCTGCCCCCTTCTCGCCGCGCGCTGCCCCCTTCTCGCCGCGCGCTGCCCCCTTCTCGCCGCGCGCTGCACCCTTCTCGCCGCGCGCTGCCTTGGACACCAGAACCTCGTGAAAACCCGCGGTCTGTAGGCACGGGCGAGATTTGGGACTTCTGACCTAGAAAAATGCCCAAAGCGTTCCTTTTTCAATGTCCCTCGTGTATATCGATGTTTTACACAATAAATGCACACTCTCGTTTTTAACTTCTACATCTGTCCGGATTCATGCAGCCAGCACAGTGTGCAGTTATGCCTCTGGCTGTGGCTACTAGTCACTACTCGCGTCTATTGGGTGACTTTGCAAAACAAGAAGTGAGAAATTAAGCACTGCCCTGGTCTATTTCAGACTTTCACGGAAAATGACCTTTGCATTCTGAGGCCTTCACAAGACCTTATCCCCTGGTCAAAAAGTATACCTCCCCCCAGCACCCCAGAGCGATGAAGGGTTCAGTTGATCCTCAATCAGGATCTGAACTCAAAACCTTCCCCTTGTGAGTCAAGTGCTCCAACTACAGCGCCACTCGGCATACATTGAGGCTTCCTAAGCATGAACTCAGTCAGGCACCCAGGCTGTGCATTCTCAGCCCGAGAGATACACGCCCGGGCCAGCCATTCGCTATCCCCTGCTAACCGCGATTCCTGCAGGCTGCTGTACCGAGCCGGGCCCTGGACGTGGGCTGCGCCGTGGGCCGGAGCACGTTTGAGCTGACGCGACGATTCCAGTCGGTGCTCGGCGTGGACCTGAGCCAGGGGTTCGTGCGTGCGAGCGAGAAACTCCAGGATGCTGGCTCCATGCGCTACAGCGCCACTGAGGAAGGGGACCTCTGCATCGACATGGTTGCACGCGTGCCTCCCGACATCGTGAGCGGCACACCCTTCACGACTCGCACTGCACACCCAGGACTCGACAAGCACCCCATACACGCCCTGCAGGTGGCAGATTCTGAGTTGGTAAAACTCCGGTTAAATGCTTCACCAAAATGTGTGGTTGTCACAGCCGTCTTAAATGATCCCGCTGAGCGCATTTAAAATGTTTTTCAAAAGCAGCATCAGGAGTCTGACACGAGAGGCAAAGGGGGGGGGGGGGGTGCTTGAGCCATCACCTCCGGGAGTTTGGTCGGCACGTGTAACTAGCGGTGGTGTTGCTGGTGCCACCTGCGCAATACATACAGGACCGCGGTCGCTGCTCATTCATGCAAGCCGACGCCTGCGCCCTCCCCCGCGATCTGGGGACTTTTGGCTGCGTACTGGCGGCCAACCTGCTGTGCCGCCTGCCTGACCCAATGGCCTTCTTGAACCGCGTGCCTGGGCTGGTGGCGCCGGGAGGAGTCCTGGTCATCACGGCGCCGTACACCTGGCTGGAAAGCTTCACCCCAAAGGTGCGCATCGCCGCAGCGGCCACCGTGATGCAGACAGCCCAGCACGCAGCTCGGCACGCACCAACACCGCTTTTGCCATCGAACGTGGGACAGGTCAAGGCTGGATACTCATTCATGTTTGTGTGTGTGTGTGCAGCGAGTTACTCATTAGCAGTAGCCTGTGATATGTCTATCTGTTTGCGTAAGTGGACAACTGCCAAATATCTGATGGGCATGTTTATCCAATACTTAGGCACACAAACTATGCCCCAGGCACACTGACAGCCTCATATGTATACTATTTAGCAAGGCCGTAATTATAATATAAATTGGGGGACGACGACACACATCCCCCCCCCCAATATTCAAATATGCTCAATGTCCCCCCCCAATATATTGCTATAAAAAATAATTGCTATGTAAATAAAAACAACTATTTGATAAACCTTGGCCACACTATCTGTCTGGACTTGTCTGCATAAAAATCAATGCATAGATTTATGTTTATATGATTGTGGTTATGGTTGTACTTTATTAATCCCTAATCTCAAACATTACATACAATGAAACAAGAAATGGTAAAAAAGTAAAAATAGAGCAATGTAATACAATACACTATTAGACATTATTGTAACAAATAAATAAAAAGTCCATCCCATGTGTTAGTGAATTTTTTAATATTTTAGGCAGGAAATTAGTCTTCAAATTTAGATATTTTTCTGGGTTGGGACCCCCAGACACCCTTGAAGATTTGACCCCCCCCAATGTTGACTCCATGGCTACGGCCTTGCTCTTTAGTATTCTAAGAGGATAGTGGCTGGGTAACAAAAAAACAGCTCCCCTATGTGTATAAGCGACTTTAAAAACACTGTACATGTCACACATGAAGGCACAAAGGTGTGCCCACAATTGATAGCTGTCCTGTGCCATGCCACCACCCCAAAACAGGCCGATACTCTCAAGGACAACTTGATAGGTCCACAGCAGTGCTCACGAATCGGAAGATGGCCAGCAAAACATGCACAGACCCCACAACCCCTTTTTTATCTGAAACGTTTTACCCAATAATTCAACCAAGTAGAGCGGAGGTTTCCCGTAGTCTCGATTTAAAATTCATATTTATACCTAATTCGGGTATGGCTGGCTGCATGCCCTACACACGTAACGTTGAAATACAAAATCCAACCATTGGATAACGATGAGATCTTGTCCGTGGGCCTGTGCTTGCGTCTGTCTGCCCACAGTCGGCGTGGCTGGGTGGCTACACTGATGCGTCGGGCAAGCCAGTGCGTGGCGCAGAGACGCTCAAGCGGGTTCTGTCCCCAGACTTCACGCTCCTTTGGGAGGGCGACCTGCCCTTCCTGCTGCGGGAGACGGCACGCAAGCACCAGTGGACCGCGGCCCACGCCACTGCTTGGAGGAGAAAGGGGTAGCGTTGCTTGCGGTCAGATGTTAATATGGGTTCCAGACTTGTGGGTGTCATGGTGATACGTTTTTGCTGATACAAGAATAATAATAAATGGTTATACATTGTGCATGAAAATTATTGAGAATGGAATGGACAATTTAGAGGACAACCAAGCAAGTGGGTATGCCCGATTCATTAATTATTCGACCGTCGACAACGTTTTTTCAGATTATGAGAAGTGCTCAAACACGCTTGGAGAGGTAGAGACAGAAAGAACAACATTTGGATTGGAGAATAACTGCAAGTTAAAAACATATTGATGAAAAGCTAGTGGGCCTGGCCATGATACATCGCTAGAAGGAATGATGGCCAATGGTAAAGAATGATGGAGTGCCAACCAAAGGAGGGGACACGTCTGAAAGTACGACCGCCACAATGGAGGGATGAGTTGTGTGTGTGCCAAAGCTAGAAGCTAGATGGATTTTTGCACCACGAGACCATGATGGATCATGGTAATGACTTGCGGGGACCTTCATCCAGCAGTGGATAGGTCATGGCTGATGATGACCAAGTTCTGAGAATAAGCTTATTCATTCAGGAATGTAAGTACATTTATAAACGTGCAACTCTTATGATCTTGGTTATCGCGAGTGCTTGGGAAGGAAAGCCATACTAATTCGTAGGAGTGTTTTTCACAAGGGTCCTGCATTGAGTTTTTATTTTAAGATGTTTTTTCAGCCAATTGAGTATTATACATGTGGGAGGAAGCCAGAGCCCTGGGATAAAACCTCGCACGTGGGGAGGGGGGGGCAACACTATCCCCATACAGATGGAAACAGATGGTGAATAGTCCAATTGCTGTACTGCCTTGTGGCACTTTCTCACAGGGAGTTTCACAACTTTTGTGCAATCAACTAACCCTTGCCTCCACAGGCGTGCTCGACCAACTGCCCAGCTCAAGGAGGCACGCTTTTTATTTTGAAATACTGTTTGGTAAAATCTAAATGCTGAACGCACGACGTTTACCATGAAGTGGGAGAAAATGTACGAGTGTTTAAAGTCCGTGGAAGCCAAGTGAAGTGGGCTTAAGCATTTCTATGTCAATATGCAGCACCGACGGGTATCTCCACGACCCATTTGTTCCAACCCATGCCGTATCTCGCCAGGAGCACCACTGCTGCCTTAAAGCCACTCTGGTCTGAGTAAGAGTGGTGACCTTGTCGTGCTTTTATGTATGTTGAGCACAGGGAAACCATCCGATGCTTTCCCATCAATGGTCAGAGCTCTATGCAATCTTTAGCATGGACTCCAGTTATAATGTATACAGCTAAATGCGCTATTGTAAACTTCTCCCTAAAAGGGAACCACAAAAATAAGTTTATGAATAAAAGCTACAAAAAAAGTCCAATACGTAGGCAAGCGTTTTATTTAATTCTGTAATTTACAGCGCGCAATATTACGTATCATCTTAGTACGAGTCGCACACAGACGATTAAGACAACATAGGGAAAACCCATGCTGTGCATGGAGGACCCATTGCTGTACGGGATGAGCACGACACAGGGTGGTACTGGTCGTCAGGGGAGGAAGTGATTAAGGGATAGAACAATATGGGTGAGGCTGGAGACTGCACAACAAGCCTGGAGCCACACTAGGCCTGAAGGCTGTACACTCGTGCTCTTCATGTCGGGATGCAGCAGCAGCTGCCTTGGCACTTGTCCCACCACAAGCAAAGGCGTCTGGCGAGATGCCAAGTGGGTGATCCACCCGCTTAGTGGTGGTTCAAAGTGCTGCCCGCCATTATCCGCAGACACTGGTACATCCGCACGAAAGCAGTAGATTGGCAATGCCAGTGTCCGAGGAGGATGGCCGATGGAGCCAGAGTGAGCCCTGGAGAAGGTCTGGATGTGCATCTGTAAGGGTGGCTTAGCGGTCGCGCTTCCCCTGCTCCAGCCAAGCATACTGGTCCAACAGTCTCTGGCCCTCCTTGCCCGACCACTCGTTTGATTTGTAATAAGCTGCAAAGCATCCACAGGGACAAGTTAGCATCCACCTGATGGGAAACAATTAACGTTTTCCAGGAGTGTTGAGATCTTAACTAGTTGCAAAATAGACGATACACTTCGAATATATTTTCCTCCATAAAAGATGAATATGTTTTTACACCCCATCTCGGAGTGGATTTCTTTCAGCAGCATTCGTTGAATTTAGAAAACTTTGGGGTTTTGAAAATTAGAATCACATCAGCAGTCAGGCTAGCCAATGATGGTGAATGTGGAGGGGTCAATATAGGAAGTAGGAATCGTCAGCTTGTTTAGTTACTCGTATACTCGCCAACAACGATGACGGGTATGTTCTGTTGTGCATGAAGTAATTGCAGCTAGGCGTACAGCTCGTGTATAAGTTTGACATTAGAATTGCTGTCATGCAAGACTGGTGGAGGAGCAAACCAGAGTTCAGAATGGTAAGCCATTGTGCATTCAGAGATTACATCCACAATAACTGCATTCTTTCATGTCTAAATGAAAGTCGACATAATTGCAATGTAATTACCACAGTTTCCCTGCAAACATCAACGTTGATGTCAAGAGTAGAACACTGACACATGCCACACTTTGATCCCACGCATCGTCAGATATTCTGGGAAACATTTTTGAGAAAAATCTCAGTTCGCAAGCTCGGACAGACGAACTCTCCGTGCCGTTCAGTGGCCAATCCATGCTCCACCCCCCGCCCTCCCTCCCCTCTCTGATGGTCGCGCATGCGCGGTTGGGCAAAATGCCGCAAAAATCGAGCAAACTCTAAAGTGGTTCTTTTCCCCTTTTACTGCAGCCTTGCACCCCTTTGGTTCTCAATCGTAAAAAAACGTATAATGCCAATAGATACATAGGTTTGATGAAACAAAGTAGTCCATAATATAGGTTTTTTTGGGGTTAGATCGTGTAAATATAAATGTGTCGTTAAACCTGCCACCACCCGACACAGCCAATTAGTAAAGTTTGTCACGTAAACAAAACATTCCAATTCGTTACTACTACACCACACCGGTGTGTTGGAGAGCCAAGCCACAAGATTTACAGTCTTAGTACGACGTTTCGCTAGTAATTACAACTGGCATCATCAGGCGGACAGCCAGATTTGTGGAGAAATCCTCCTGTTTCGTTCATTAAAGAAGTTGTACTTACGTGCCCTTGCTTAATTTGTTTCGATTTACCTTGGGGGGGGGGGGGGGATCTGGCCATGTCTCGCACCCCCCCAGACCCCCAGAAAGGGCATCTCGCACCGCTACGGAGTGCGTGCAGCCCAGGTTTAGAAGAACCACTGCTCTAAAGTGTGTGTCGTGGAATGGGAAATGTAGAGGAGCATTGTCCCAGTGGATGCACGAGGTGCAGCCCACGACAAGCCAGCACACGTGTAAGTGTGTTGAACTTCTTTCGCACCGTACGTAGCCAACCGTGCTCATCGGAGGTGCGAAACGTTGGTCCAATATCGACCGGGCACTGTACTGGGTGCTTCACGCATGCCACACTATTCATTGTACAGTATTTGTTTTTGCGCAATTTCTGTCAAGACTGGGTACAATACCAACCTTCTAGGACGAGAGGTACCCTCTTGTGCACCTTGTACCTGAAGTCTGAAACGAAGGCAAACAGCGAGGATCAATGTCTGAATGTAAAGCGGCAACCTGACCTGGGAATTCTCACGCCACTCATCCACGAAACCTCAATCTCAACGTCCTCAAAACGACACTCGAGATCGTGACGTCCTCTTCATTCCACGACTAACAGCACCCACCCACCCTGTACGCGTACTGCACTTTTGCAAATCCACTGCTGGATGAGAATCTTCCCACACGTGGCGGGCCGTGGGTAATACTTGACCATAATTCACCATGCCGGTCACTACTGCACACACTGACACTACAGCAATGGATTTCCCTGCAATGTCCCCTAACGCCCACTGGGCGCAGGGCTTTTAATTCACGGCACAATCCCGACGCGAATCGCCACCACGGGCCTCGCCCCCGACAGCACTGCCACCTTGCTGGCCACAGCCCCCCGTGGCCTCTTGTGGGCCACGCGTGGTGTGGTCGGGGTGGGCCCCTCACCCCTCTCCCCTTGGCAGAGGTCGCAACCGGGTATCCGATACCCGTACCCTACCCGATACCCGGCTACCCGTACCCGGCCGGGTACGGGTACCCGTTTGCGACCCTGGTGCGGCCGGGTACGGGTAAGGAATCAAAACACGTTTGCGAACTCTGCACCTTGGCTTCCGTCCATCTTAAAGTAGAGGCAGTAGACCCCGACCAGGCCCAGCAACTCGGCCAGGAGGACGCCCTTGGCCACCCTCATCAGCGCGGGGTTGCGATACCGGTTGTCGCTCATCGCGAAGGCCGCCGTGGGGCCCTCTCGTGTCACGCGCCCCGCGAGAAGTGTCCGGCCAGCGAGGAGCCTCTCGTGGGGCCCTCTCGTGTCACGCGCCCCGGGAGGGATCCGCGCGACCTCGCGGGGTCTCGCGCCGTGGCCGCGTGTGACCCCCGGAGACGGTGGTCGCACTGCGCCCCCTGCAGCCTTGAGCCGGCACCACAACCAGCAGCAGCACCAACAACAACAACCACCAGCACCAACACCAGCACCACCAACAACAACAACCACCAGCACCACCACCAGCAGCAGCACCAACAACAACCACCAGCACCACCAGCACCAACAACAACCACCACCAGCACCAACACCAGCACCAACACCAGCACCACCACCAGCACCAACACCAGCACCACCACCAGCACCAACAACAACCACCACCAGCACCAACAACAACCACCACCAGCACCAACACCAGCACCAACACCAGCACCACCACCAGCACCAACAACAACCACCACCAGCACCAACAACAACCACCACCAGCACCAACACCAGCACCACCAGCACCAACACCAGCACCACCACCAACAACAACCACCACCAGCAACACCACCAGCACCACCACCAGCACCAACACCAGCACCACCACCACCAGCACCAACACCAGCACCACCACCAACAACAACCACCACCAGCACCACCACCAGCACCAACACCAGCACCACCACCAGCACCACCACCAACAACAACCACCACCAGCACCACCACCAGCACCACCACTAGCAGCACCACCACCAGCACCAACACCAGCACCACCACCACCACCACCAACAACAACCACCACCAGCACCACCACCAGCACCACCACCAGCACCACCACCACCACCAGCAGCACCACCACCAGCACCACCACCAGCAGCACCACCACCAGCACCAACACCAGCACCACCACCAGCACCATCACCAGCAGCACCACCACCAGCACCAACACCAGCACCACCACCAGCAGCACCACCACCAGCAGCACCACCACCAGCACCACCACCACCAGCACCAACACCAGCACCAACACCAGCACCAACACCAGCACCACCACCAGCACCATCACCAGCACAACCACCACCAGCACCACCACCAGCAGCACCACCACCAGCACCACCACCACCAGCACCAACACCAGCACCACCACCAGCACCATCACCAACCACCATCGTGGTGGGGGGCCCCGCGGCAGGATTCATATTCTTGGTTCTTTCGGTAAAGTCACGTAGAAGGGAAATAATAAAGTAATCTATATATAAAACAATAAAAATGATCACGACGTTTCGACTGCAACACAAGCAATCATCATCAGGTGTGAAATCCACAGAAAGAAAATATTCTGCTCAACCAGCGGTGGGCAAACATGCGGCTCTTTAAGGACTGATTCGTGACGTTATTTTTGTTACTTATAACTTTCGTGACTGCAGGAATTAATATTCTTGGTTCTTTCGGTAAAGTCTTTTCTCTCCGCCTGATGAAGACCGCTTGTGTTGCGATCGAAACGTCGTGGGTTTTTTCTTTTATTATTTTCAATTTATTTTAATTTTGAATGTAATTTTACAATTTTTATCGTGTTTTTTTTGCTTTTATTATTTTCAATTTATTATTTGTATTCTTTTTCTTTTTATTATTTTTTTGTTTTCTATCTACGTGACTTTACCGAAAGAACCAAGAATACGTGACGTTATTGATTAAGGACTGTATTGTATTCACATGCATTTCAGCTCTTTACATCTTTGAAAAAAACAGATTGTTGTGGTTGCCGACCCCTGTGCAAGAAAATCTACCTGCTAAACAATCTAGCAAGTACAGTTTTCTTTATATTCTTCCGTATGGCCACATCTTCAGCAGATATATTCCAACGTCGAGGCCTGCTGGCCACGACGCGAGGGGTTATAAGGAGATAATTGTTGTAGTTTTACTCTTCCCCCTCCTTTGAAGAAGCACAGACTACAGCACACAAGTTTACAAGGTCCAAAGTTTGGTTCTAGAATTGAAGCTTTCGTGACTGCAAGGATTCATACTATTACGTTTTTTCGGTAAAGTCACGTAGGTAAAATAATAATAATAAAATAAAATAATAATAAATGAAAATAACTTAATTAAATCACGACGTTTCGGAGGCAACACAAGTCTCCGTCTTCAGGTGGGACCGTCACAGCCAAATTTACTGTATCAAGTGAAGGGAAATCCAAGAGACAAGATCTTAAATACTAGTTAAGGGGAGGGGGGAGGAGCTTATCTAAATGTGGCAGTCAGGGACTGGGAGAGTGGGGGGCGGGGCTAGAAGGGGAAGGTGGGCGGGGCTAGAAGGGGAAGGTAACAGCTGTTAAGCCCCTACGCAAGAATTACGGCCGGTATTGGCTTCCAAAACAAACAAAAAAATAACCCGTAAAAACAAAGTTTTTCACTATAAATCCTTTATATGCGTGGCGGCTAGAGTCCTCTCGTCCTCTGGCTTGAGATGGCTGCCACCTATGGGTCAGATGATTGCCTGCCACCATTAAGCAATTGGTAATTAAATATAATTTATTTTTTCCTAAAAAGTGTAAAATTTAGGAAAAAAATTTTCACGAAAATAAATTGTCACGCACAACGAGTCTGTGTGCAAAATGTCTGCTCGATTGGATCACGGGAAGTGGGTTAAAAAACGACAGAAAGATTTGCACGGTCGTAAGCGCGCAAGCAAGCAAGCAAGTGAACTTAATATAAAGGATTTAAAATAGCAGCACTGTTAAACGCTGAGGATGTCAACAATTCGGTCAAATAGACTAGTATCTGTCAAATAAGATGGTACAAATATGCGTAGTTAAATATTTTTTACATGGTTAATAATATCTTTACAATGATTGCTCAATTTGTACCCATCATCATGGTTGAAGTTATGTCTATGTTTGTATATCTGGATGGCTTCATGCACAAACCTTTGATGGTAACCAGAAGGTTTGGAGAGCACCTTGTGACCATGGCCACAATCGCGCGACTGTGGTTTGTCTTTCATTTTACATTCACGAATGAGATGGGAGATGTGTGCATCAGCGAACTGACGATACAGGATACATCATCATACGTGTCTGGAATCGCTCCCAAATATGCATCTTGTCATCCTCATTCCATAGAGTCGCTCGATTTGTCGCCTGGACGAAATATCGCGAGGGAAACCAAACAAAATCGCACAAAATCACCGGTTGACGTTCACCCTTTTTCACACGGAAAACACACCGGAGTTGCAAAATTTAAGACGAAAACAAAATCGTCTTCCCATTCCGATATATCATTTGTTTCGATTTTTCTTTGCTTTTGTAAGTTTTTTGAACAGGGTCAACTCTTGTAAATTAAACTCATCCTGGTCTTTTGCGTTCTCTTCGTGGTTTGACAAAATCAGCTGGTATGCTGAATACTTCAGTGAACCGTTCAAATACAAATGTATCTGCCGGGTTACGCCTAAGGCAGCAGAGGGCAGTGCATCTCTGCTCACCAACCCACACGGAGCCGCGTGGTTGAAGTATGGTCAAATAAGACCCATGACCCGCACAACGCGGAGTGGCCCTCATCCAGCAGTGGATTGACAAACGTCTATTTTTGGATAGAGTGAAAGCGAAACAAGGGCATATCATTATTTGCGCTTGTTTACGCAGAAAAGCCTCGCTCTCATGACTTAGGGAGGGTCCTGCCACGTTTTCGCAGTAGGGGGCGATGATTGCTGCTGTGCTTAATCCCAATTGTGGAATTTTAGGGTAATTTTTAAAACTTGGCATCGTGAATTCGTCCATAGGTGGAGTAATTTCTCTTCGCTATCGCACGAACTCTTAAAAGCCCAGTGAGACAATGTCCAACGCAACACCACTGGCCGTGTATTATAATTGAGCTGTGGGGGAGACCGCAAGAAATAATTCACTGGGAGCTTGAAATTCGAACGTGAGCACGGGGCTGTAAGGGAGCGGTGCTCCACCGAACACACGTGGCAAACAGTGGGAGGGGGGGCAGCAGCTTCCCACGTGCTCTGTAGGGGGCAGCGAATACTGCATGGGGGCGACGTGGAATTATTTTATTATTTAGCCCACATGGTTGCGGCTATAAACGCGAAATCCTGCTAAGCCGGCGTTTTAGACTATTTGTCCATATTGACGTGGTGGCCCATACTGAACCGTTATGAGCCCCACCACCACCACCACCTTCCCCCATCTCGTGCCACTCTCTGCAGCAGCCAGCAGGGGTCGCTGTCATCTAACAGGAGGTGTGCGTGACTTTCACAGCCCATGCGGAGCTCCGTGTGGGAGGGTTGGTGGGAGGGTTGGGGGGAGCTCTGGACACGGGGGTAAGGAGGACGCGGAGCTTGTAACAAGGATCCTGGGCTCGGCACCGGCGTGGGTGGTGGTGGTGGTGCCGCTGGTCGAGCGCTCACGTGGTGAATACATCTGCCACACGACCAAATCTCCTGGGTCACGTTCCTCTGCCGCTTGAGAAGGTGGTAGTGGTGGTGACGTCGTCGAAGCGCCGTTTTCAGAAGCAGGGGACCAAGCCAATGGAGCAGACGCGCACCCCCCTTGCTGCTCCTGCTGCTGTTGCTTCTGCAGGTGAGCGCGCCGTCGTGGTGCCCTGTGCCCGGGGCCTGCCGGCTCCGAGGTGGCACCCAGGCCAGGCGGGCCAGCGAGACGGGGGTGGGTGGCTGGGTGGCTGGGTGGGGGGTGTCGCTGTGGTGGCCTCGGAGCCGTGCCTGGCGGCGCCCCGGGAAGATGCGGAGTCGTGACGCGTCCTCCCGCAGAGGCGACGGGGGCGGAAGGGGCCAACACCCCGAGCCCAAAGGTCGCCCGCACACGTTGCCCTCCTCATCATCTCTCGCCCTCCTCTCTCTCTCTCTTGTCATCGTCCCGAACATTATCATCGTCAACGGCGCCGGCTGTGAGCGAACGCGCCCCCCACGGGCGCCGTTTGCCGTCCCCCCCAAAAAAATCCCTCCCACGGGAAGAGGCTAATTTGATCCGCTGCCTGCGTCTGTTTGTTGCGTGAGGTCTGCTGCTACCTACCAGCTCGGCCATGAGACGGCCGGTGCTGTGAGGAGGGACGCCCCGAGCCTCCACCGCCCCCCAAACTACCCCGCGTCCTCCCCCTGCCCCCCCCCCCCGGCATGCGGCACGAGCCCCCGGGGA